TTTGGTAAATTGTTGTATTTGCTCAGAAGAGAATTACGACACCTAAAGTGCTCATGATCGGTAGAGAGTATCTAGGCGAATTTATAGGAGATGTAGCAGAGAGGACTCCTGTTGACTTATGTGAGTCCACCAAACTATAGAGTACCTGGTCCTCTATGAGACTAATACGTAGAGTGCAGTAAGGATTGAATGTAAAGAAGGCCAGAGATTTTCTACGTGGAAAAATCCCACACAAGGGGATCAAAAAACCTCGACCTACACCTGTAGGCTATAAACTCAACTAACTTGTAATCTACCTATTACAAGCCACTTTGCAAACTCCCTTTTGCAAAGACTTCAAACTAACTTGTGATGCACCACCACAAGCCACTCTACAACTCTCCTAGTTACAGAGGATTTAACTTATGACTATTCCTAGTCACAACATAATCTCTAAAGTTTACGAATTTGGTTTGTTCCTAAGACAGCGCTTCTAAGAAAGCAAACTAGGAATTACAATACAGAACAATTAACAGGATTACAACTCAATTATGGACGTACATAGGACTCTATTAGAAACTGATCCTTAGTGGAGTTGTCTTCTTGTTCTTGACACACCAGTGACTTTAATGCTAGATGAACTTTGTTATGCTTGAGAGAATATCACTAAATGCACAAAGGAAGTGTGTTTTGCACCAGGTTGTTTTATCACAAAAGATATCACAATGGGTAGTGATGTCAACTCTTGGTGTACTTCTTCCCAGTGAGAAGTGACTGTTGCACAGTCTGCACATCTACTTCTGGACAGTTGCGTTCCAGCTGGATAGTGGGCTTTGTACTTCCTGTCAGGACACACCAACAGACCAGGTCCTAGTTGTGTTCCTCTTCTGTAACAGTTGCCAGATGGTCACTTCATTCTGTCACGTTCCAGATGTGTACTTGACTTGTACTTTCTGTCAGAGAACCCTGAAGCAGCAGGTCCCTGTTGTGTTTCTGCCTTTGCTGATTTTCAGGCTTCGATTAGTTCGCATGAAATGTATATCCTGTGCGCCAGGTGCTCTATCTGGTTTTTCATGCCTAAGTTTGTTAGATCATAAAAACATAAAATACTAAAAACCCATCAATATTCCCCTTTTTGATGATGACAATCTTAGGTATGGACACTATTTGTTTAGAGCAAAAATAACCAGATGAGATACCAGGATGCTAGTAGTTCCCCCTTAATCTAAGCTCCATCACACTTAAGTTCCCCCTTAATCTAAGCGTACTTCCCCCTTTTGGCATCATTAAAAAGGATAGAAATAAAGAAGAGCACCAGCAGATAAGAAGCATAAAGAAGTCTAACACAACTAGCTCATGCCACATATGTGTACACAACATGACAGAAAAGAGAAGCCAAAGGAACATGGGATTGTACAAGCAACGAAAAGGAAGTTGTTTTATTAATGTTTACATTGGACTGAGTAATTCAGGAGCAGTAATGGTCAAATACAACATGCCATCATAACAAAAACATGCAAACAAAAGTAAAACTGCAGCCACAGGAGATTGGAGCAAAAGTAGTTTGACACGAGGAAGATCCTAGGGGGTACTAAAGGAAGAAGGCTTGGAAGAAGAGAGAGCCATGGTTTTGAGAACCAGGTCCAATCTAGCATTTGCGGACAATTGTTCTTCAAGTAATTGAGCCCGAAGTCTCTCATTTTCCTTAGTTAGTCGTGTAATCTCCGCATGTAGAGAATCAGGTCCGTTAACTGCTTGACTGAGCTGAGTTTCCAGTATGGCATCTTGAGCCATCAGCCTTCTTATCTCTTCTGAGGCTACATTTTGAGCATTGATTAGCTGAGATATGGTCGATATGCTTCCACCAACCTTTTCAATACATTCACATTCTTCTAGAGTGGTCTTAGAGAAGGTCTTCTTGCGTATGCCCACTCTGGGATTCCCCAATGGGACCTTATAGAATCTGAGCACCTGAGTGAGGAGAAATCCATAAGGTAACCCATGATTTCCACCCTTGAAATTTGCCACCTTCTGCATATGGTCTATCATGAATGCAGGTAGATTGACTGGAACAAACTCATCGAGTGCTTCCATCAGCACCATGTCCAATCTTGTAGCAATAGAGCGCCTCTCAGAGCGGGGTAAGAGCACTTTATTGACCAGCTCAAAGAGAAGCTGGTACTCAGGAAGCAAAACCTTCTTATGCACCTGTTCCCCCTGTTGAATACCTTGTTCTTTCATGATGGCTCTCCGAAAGTTTATTCCACAGACACCCTTAACAGAGAACATACTTTCACACGGAATTCTGAGAATCTTCCCCAACGTCGAAGCGTCGAGTACAATGTCTACTCCATTTACAAGCGCACAAATGTGATCCCCTTCAACAGTGAAAAGAGATGCGTAAAAGGTTTGTACTGCATCTTTGTACTCCAGAATTTGTCTCATCTTTGTCATCTCTGAAATTGCTGGATCAAATGTACGACCCCACAAAACTTTTTGAGTTCTTAATCTCTATTGCCAAAGACCACTATCACGGGTAGCAGACCTTATTGTACCAGGTTCCTTAACCGTTTCCTCCTTTTGTTTGCTAGACCCTTCATCAGACTTTCCTTTTCAGCTTGCCATTCCCACAGTATTGTCCTCAGACACAACTAGCTCAGTTAGACTCCGTTTAGACTTGCTACTGTACCTCACAGATAACCCTTTCTGTTTCTCAACAGTTTCATCAATGACCCTATTCATAGACTGTTGCATTGTCATACATTGTTGTACTGAGGAACTAGGTTCCTTGGAAGCATCTTGATCTACTTGGTTTACTGACACTCTTTTGATGAAATCCTTTGGATTTATTTTCCTCTTTTTCCTTGTCTTGACACTCCTCTTATTTTTCTGAAACGAGGACTCAGAACTCTCTTGCTGTAGTGACCTAATAGTGAGTGATTTGGAGGAAGACTCTAAGAGCTTGGAGTGAACGGAAGGTGCAGGAGTGGGTTTGCATAGAAGAGAATCAGGTTCATCAGAAGGTTTTTCTGAGAATATCTCATGAGCTAATGACTCGAGGAGTGTTGTAGTTCTTACATCTCCTAGGAATGGAATTTCTTCCCCCTGGTACCCAGATGAGAGATATGCTTCTTCATTCATCACACTCTCAGCAGCTATAGCCATGATGTTATGAGCTGCTTCCTTTTCTGGTGACTCCTTTAGAGTCACTGAGTCCAACATGGAGGTGTTCAAATACTGGTCAGGATCATCCTCCGAAACTTCTGATACTTGAGGAGTACAACCACTTGTGTGATCTTTGATGACATCGCAGGATTGACTAGACATAGGATTTTCAAAATAATGGTAAACAGGATTTTATCAGGAATGGAAAAACTGTAGGAGTGGAGGAGGGACCAGGAGTTGGTAATGTGATAGAGGGTGTGAAATAATGGCACTCTGGGGATGATCTCAAGAATAATGACGAAGTGGGAGCAATGTCAACGGTGGGAGAATAAGATGATTTTTCGATCATCATTAGATGAATGCTTGATAGACGAGTATAGAGAGAGACGAAGAGAAGATCCCAGCTGTATAGAATAGATGAAGGTTCATGACTTGCCTTGAGAGAAGAAGGGCTAATGATGAGTGGTGAGCGAAACAGGTTCTGAATAGTTTTAAAAATGGCGGTAGGTTTGTGGGGAAGTGTCATCGTGCAGAGAGGATGAAGGATTTGAAAGACAAGACATGACACACAGACGCTGAAAATTCGGATGATGTGGCATTTGAATTAATTTTGTTAACAAAAACCCCTTTTCTTTTTCTTTTTTTTTTCTTTTTTTTAAGAGGGCATGCATAATAAGCACATTACTATTAACCTGAAATACAATAACCTGATGTCAGAGCAGTCTTTTGAACAAGGTTTTAGCAGCTCCCCTTTCGCAGTTTATAGCCATACCTTTAACTTCTATGATCGTCAAGTGTGTTTACCTACAACGATATTGATGTGAGTTAGGCTTGGTCAGAAAACACTTTAGCTACCTTTACCTGATGGTCTCTTATACAACCAGCAGATTGAAGATCAGGTTCTTCATTAGATTCTTGTGACTCCATCTTCTCCTTGATTTCTCCGGAATGTTCACTTCTTGAGGATTTGTTGTCGATATCTGGTGTTTGGTGTTCGGTTCTACAGTGCTTTCCATCGATCAGTCCTTCCTTCATATTGATCCTCAGAGGATGATCTCACCCTTCAAATTTTTCTCCAGTTGTTGATGAGGTCATTTCCTTTTGCTTCCTTGTCTCCCAGAAGATGAGGCATGAATCATCACAGGTGCACTTTGGTTTTCCAATTTGAGACAGAAGTTGGTTAAGGAGAGAAATATGGAGGTTCGTTTGATTTCCCATGCTATGTGTTCTGTTGTTTGCGTAGTGCCATGAGCTGCATCTTTACTTCTTCCTTCAGCTTCATTGGTAGCCAGTAATGTACCAGGTTCTTTGTGCGACGCGGAGAATGCTGTTGCGTTGTCTTTTGCCAGTCTCCTTCATCTTGCTCACTTTAACATCCTCCTGATTTGAAGCCTCAGATGTTTCCCCGTGAGCATCTCCTGCCATTTAGTGCTTCCTTTGTTGGAGACCTTTTGACCTTGTTTTGTGGGTTGTTCCCCAGAGGGATTCCTTCACTCGTCTGTTTGCATTGTGCTTCCCAAGTTGATCCTTCCTGTTGTCAGGGGCAAGGCATTTTCTTCCAATTGGCGGTTCCTGGCGAGTTTTGATTTAGGAAGAACCTGGTTCGACACCTGTTCTCCAGTAGAGAGTAGTGTTCATTCCTTTTTCCCAGAGCCTTTTTGGTGATTCCATAGGCGACAAGCACTATCCATGCTTCATTTTCCAGTTCCGTCTTTTCCTATTTGAGTCCCAAGGGAACCTTTCTGCCTTTTCATTTACAGAGAATGTACCCTTTTTTTAAGGATACATTCCATTCCTGCAGGACTTACAGTGAGAAGCATTTCATGATGTTTTTAGCTGCGTGCTTCAGGCATTCACTATCCATAGTCTATCGCAGTCTGCTTCCTCTCACTGCTCCCTGCACATGCTCATCAAGGGTTAGATTTAGGAACCCAAACTAGTTTGGGTCCCTTGTTATTATAAAAAGGATGGATGAGAGATTTCCTAGTCCACGCAAGCAGCATCCGCTTTTTGCAAGTGGTACCTGGTCCTTTGCTAGTAGTCACTCTATCAGTGAAAGCTTTGTTCTTCTGAACAGACTGAACCCTGGCCTGACAATTTTCTTTAAAATGCCCATTGTTTCCACAGTGGGTACATAGCCAGTTATCAGGTACAGTGACATACTTGTTGTGTGGGTTGTAGGGAGTTTTCTCCCTATGAAACCCGATGCCCTGCTTGTTCCCACTATTGTTGAGATACATGGCAGTAACAGCATCTGAGGACCAGGTCCATTTCAAGGATTTTTCAAGATCATTTTTTACTTTCTCCAACTCAGTTTGGAGTTGCTGATTTTTCTCGAGTTCACTGCAAAGATTAGTTTTTACAACAGTTAACTCCTTTTCCAACAAGATGTGTGACTCACTGGCTACTTCCTTCCCTTTCCCAAGACTAACATTCCTATTTTCTCTATTGAGTCCCTCAATGGTTTTCTCTAGATCAGCGCATATTGCTAACAGGTCATCCCTTTCCTCCTCAGCAGATGCAACTTTTTCTTCTAAGACGTGTTTCTCATTGTTAAGGCATTCTATTGTTTCTTTCAGATCAACAACTACTGCAATCAGGTCGTCTCTCTCATTTTCCACACCGGTTATTCTTTCATTCAAGGCCTCCTTCTCTATTTCAATATTAGCTATGGTCTCATCTCGTTCTACTACACATAACACTAGATCATCTCTAGATTTCTCTGCCTCTCCTAGTTTAATTGAGAGGGTCTCCTTATCGTTTATAAGGCTATAATAGGCATTAATTAAGACATTTGATAAAGACCTTAGCTTCTTGGAAGAATAGGATTTCAGATTTCTCTGAACATCCCGGAAGCTTACCTCGTCGTCTTCATCTTCTTCATCGTCATCATCTGACTGAGCCATCAGCGCGAACAGTGAGTCGTACTTTGTTGCTTTAGTTTCCACTGCCAACAGGGAACTATTTTCTGCATCTGATTCCCTTTCGGATTCACTTGAGGAGTCTCCCCAAGCAGCAAGGGCATGCTTAACGATATTGTCTGCAGCACTTTTTCGATTGAATCTTTTCTCGGGAACCAGGTTCCTTTTTCCTGCCTTGTCAGGATTTTGCTTGTACTGCTCCTGTTTCGCATGTGGGCAATCTTTGATGAAATGCCCTCACTTTCCATATCCATGACAGAGATCGTTGTTCCTTGTTTTACTTGAACTGCCCCACTTTGGTATGCCACCATTTCTTCGAACCAATTTTTGAAATCTCTTAGTGAGATAGGCCATGTCACTATCTTCATCACTTGAATCACTCTGTTTAGCTTTAAGCACCAGGTTCTTTTCCTTCTTGGGCTCTCTTCTTTTGCTGTCTTTCTTTCTTTTCATCTCGTAAGTTTTCAGATTACCAATCAGCTCATCTATGGTTAGAGTCTGTAGATCTTTAGCTTCTGTGATGGCATTTACCTTAATTTCCCAAGACCCAGGTAGGATGCTGAGGATTTTACTTACGAGCTTATTTCTGGGAATGACATCTCCAAGTGAATGAAGCTCATTTATGATGGAGGTGAATCTAGTGTGCATATCTTGTATAGATTCATTATCCTTCATCCTAAAGAGTTCATATTTTGTGGTGAGCATGTTAATCTTGGATTGTTTGACCTGAGTGGTTCCTTCATGGGCAGTTTGCAACGCCTCCCATATTTCCTTGGCAGTTTCGCAAGCTGAGACTCTGTTGTACTCATCAAGTCCTATGCCACACATCAAGATTTTCTTGGCGCGGTAGTTCTTTTCTACAACTTTTCTGTCAATGTCGTTGTACTCTCTTCTTCCTTTCGGCACCATATGTGATGTTTCTTCAATCTTCTTCATGGGAACGTGTGGTCCATCACATATAATATCCCACAGCTCTGAATCTTCTGCCATAATAAAATCATGCATCATGGTCTTCCACCAGCCGTAGTATTGACCATTGAATCTGGGAGGTCTATAGGTTGATTGTCCTTCTTCAAAGCTTGGTGGAGCAGCCATTGAGGATTCCTCCTAGGTGTTAGTCTGATAGGAAAAACCTGCTCTGATACCAATTGTTGACTTATCTGAGTCCACCACACTATAGATTACCTGGTCCTCTATGGGACTGATACGTAGAGTGCAGTAAGAATTGAATGTAAAGAAGGCCAGAGATTTTCTACGTGGAAAAATCCCACACAAGGGGATCAAAAAACCACGACCTATACCTGTAGGCTTTAAACTCAACTAACTTGTAATCTACCTATTACAAGCCACTTTGCAAACTCCCTTTTGCAAAGACTTCAAACTAACTTGTGATGCACCACCACAAGCCACTCTACAACTCTCCTAGTTACAGAGGATTTAACTTATGACTATTCCTAGTCACAACATAAACTCTAAACTTTACGAATTTGGTTTGTTCCTAAGACAGCGCTTCTAAGAAAGCAAACTAGGAAATACAATGTAGAACAAGTAACAAGATTACAACTCAACTATGGACGTACATAGGACTCTTTTAGAAACTGATCCTTAGTGGAGTTGTCTTCTTGTTCTTGACACACCAGTGACTTCAATGCTAGATGAACTTTGTTGTGCTTGAGAGAATATCACTGAATGAACAAAGGAAGTGTGTCTTGCACTAGGTTGTTTTATCACAAAAGATATCACAATGGGTAGTGATGTCAATCTTGTCTAAAATAGTTGCTTTGTTAGTGATAAAATTATAGCTTTTTAATTATCTTGTTGTTAGTTAGTAAGCGCTCAAATCATTATTCAATATTTTTGGAAGTTGATTACTTGAATTCTTGTGAAACTAGCAGTTGTGATTAATACGTTAATTCCCTGTGGGATTCGACTCCGGTCTTGTAAACCGGATTATATTTGCAACGACCGCTTAGTCCTTTTTATAAGGCATAGTTGGGCGTGATCAAATTTTGGCACTGTTGCCGGGGAATTAACAGTGTTATTAATTGCAGCTAAAAGAAGTGCTAGAATTCTTAGTTTAGTCAATTTTCTTCATTTTAAACTAATTATATCGAAATTCTAATGTTTGTAGTCTTGGGTGTTACAGGTGCATGCCTAGAAACTCCTCAAGAACTGGTGAATTTTTCGAAGCATTATCAGATCGTGAGAAAGTTTTCTAGGCGTTGAATCGTGCAAACAAGAAGGACAAATGGCAACAGAACTCAACTGAACGAATGGAACTAGATATGGGTGATGTCATAGACGACCAAAACAACTAGAACAATGTGAACGACCCGAACAATCGGGGTGTGTGGCACCTCTTGTGCCATAAGCGGCCTTGTATGATTGGGCACAACCCACCACTGAAAATCTGGCAACCGCAATTGCAGTCCCTCAGATACAAGCGGAATCATTTCAAATCACAAACAATATGCTACACCTACTACAGAACAAGGGATTGTTCTCGGGGTCTTACATTGAATATCCTCAGCAGCATCTAAAAAATTTCCTGTCGATATGCGTCATGCAAAGGCAACCAAATATGACACCAGAAGCAATAAGGTTGTTGTTGTTTCCATTCTCAGTGACTGGAGAGGCTCAGACTTGGATCAATTCGCTCCCCATAAACTCCATTACCACTTGGGAGGAATTAGTCAAGCAATTTTTGAACAAGTTCTACCCACCCAATAAGACTGCCAAACAAGTTGATGAGATATTGAGCTTCAAGCGAAACCAGCTGAAACATTGCAAGAAACGTGGGAGTGGTTCAAAGGTATGTTGGTTAAGTGTCCACACCATGGCATTCCAGATCAAATGTTGGGGCAAAGGTTCTACATGGGATTGGCAGACGGCTTGAAGTCCAATGTTGATGCTTCAGCAGGTGGAGCATTGTTTAGCAAATCATTCAGGGAATGCAAGGTCTTTCTTGATAAAATGGCTCAAAATTCAGGATGGATGGCAAGAGACTCTACAATCACTCCTGTAGTTCACTCAGTGGATTTGGACCCAAACAACTCCATAGCCGAGAATATGGCCGCTCTGATGACGCAAATGAGTTTCCTCACCAAGAAAATTGACGAATCAGGCCAGAAGCAGGTACACATAGTTGACACGACTAATGGAGGCCTATGTACACCATGTATAACCAACCATATGAATGCTCGTGGAGTGGTGAAAGCGACAACCAGAACTATTAAGAGAATATGAACTTTGTGGGCAACTATGGAGGACAGAGGCAAGGTGGTCAGAATTGGGGGCAGCAGAATCAGCAGTATAGACCGGCACAACAGCAGTACAATAATAGCAACAATCCTAGAGCTATGCGACCACATGGCCAAGTTGTGCCATACCAAAGGCAACAGGGATACAATCAGAAAAACCAGAAGCTAGCTTATCAACAGCCTCAACAACAGCAGATAGTGAGACAAGATGATGGGTTGTCTCAAATTAAAGGAATGCTGCAACAACTGATTGGGTCCAATGGAAAAATGCAAGAGAAAGTGGAAGCACATGACTTAGAAATAAAAGGCATTGAGATTCAATTAGGGCAGTTGTCCATGGCTCTGAATAATCGGCCCCAAGGGACATTACCTGCAGACACACATGTAAATCCAAAAGAGCAGGGCCCGAAGCAGTTTATGGCGGTGAGTCTAAGAAATGGTAGAGATCTTGATCTAGAGCAAGAAAGTGCTCGCGAAAGCCGACCAACTGAGATACTTGTGCCAGTACCAATTGAGGTAGATGATTCAATAGGATTAACAGAGGTGACGGTACAACATGCACCAGCAGAAATAAGCAAAGAAAAAGAGGTTGCGAAGGAGACTGAGTTAGTGCAAGAGAAGGCATTAGAAATAGTGCCCGAGCAGGATCAAGCTCAAATCACAGGAAAGAAGCGACCTCCAGCACCCTTCCCAAAGAGATTGGCCAAATATCATAAGGATGAGCAGTATAAGAAATTCATGGAGATGTTAAAGCAAATACAGTTGAACATTCCATTGATTGACGCCTTGAAAGAGATGCCGAGTTGTGCAAAAATGATGAAGGACTTGATGTCTTGTAAGTTCGACTTTCAAGACTTGGCCACTATTACACTAACTCATACATGTAGTGCTGTAGTGACGAGACCCATAGCTGAGAAGTTGTCCGACCCAGGGAGTTTCACAATTCCATGCACAATAGGCAACTATGCTTTTGCTAAAGCATTTGTGATTTGGGGGCGAGTATAAACTTGATGCCCTTGGCTATCTATAAAAGTTTAGGCATTGGAAGAGCAAGACCCACATCCATGTTACTACAGCTAGATGACCGAACGGTGAAGAGGCCATCAGGTATACTTGATGATGTACTGTGCAGGTTAGGAAGTTTGTGTTTCCGGCAGATTTTGTCATTCTGGACTGCCGGGTTGATGAGGAGATTCCCATAATTTTGGGAAGGCCATTCTTGGACACTGGGAGAGCTCTAATTGATTGTGAAACTGGGGAGCTAAAGATGAGACTGAACGATGAAGAGATAACATTCAATGTGCAGAAGTCTATGCGGCGACCTAGTGAGTTTGCTAACTGCTCTCTAATAGAAGCTGTGGATGTGATTTTGGAGGAGGAAGATGAGGCTCTAACGCAAAAGACCCTCTAGCAGCCTGCCTTATGAACTTAGAAGAGGTAGATGGTGAGGACTTGGTGGAGTAGGTTTTAACCCTTGAAGGCCAAGGGTACTGGAAAAGAGAGCTCAAATTCAAGCCTTTACACTTAGAAAAAAAGAAAAATCCCTCCAGCTAAGCCATCAATTGAAGAGCCACCACAGTTGGAGCTAAAACCGTTACCGTCTCACCTCAAGTATGCTTTCTTGGGACCTAACTCAACTTTACCTGTTATTATCTCATCCAGTTTGTTAGATATGCGAGCAAAAAAGCTTTTGCAGGTTTAATAGAGTG